TGTGTGTGTGTGTGTGTGTGTGTGTGTGTGTGTATGTATATATATATCTACACACATATATACATATATACATATACATACACACATGTATGTATACATATATGTGTATGTATATATATGTATGCATATATACACATATATGCATATACATACACACATGTATGTATACATATATGTTTATGTATGTATATATACACATATATGCATATACATACACATGTATGTATACATATATTTGTGTATATGTATGTGTATATATACATATATACATACATATGTATGTATACATATATATGTGTGTGTATGTGTGTGTGTGTGTGTATATATATATATGTGTGTGTGTGTGTGTGTGTGTGATAGTAGCCAGGCCATTGCTTCACACCTGTAATCCTAGCACTCAGAATGTGAAAGGAAGAGAGACAGAAGTTCAGGGCTATTTTTGGCTATATCTAGAGTTCCGTGCCAGCCTGGGGGACAGGAGACCCTGTCAAAAGAAAGAAGTGAGGGGATGTATTTATCAATTAAAAGTATGGGGTTCACATCCCTTGTGTTTACCTAGAGCAAGGATTCTACATGGATCTCCAGTACAACGTCCTGTGCACCTGTGAAGACAGGCAGACCCTTTGTGTCCTGAGTGGGGTTGCTCTGCAGTTTTACTCAAGTGTGTCTGGTGACACACTCACATAACTACTCAGAATCCAACAAAGCCAGCACTGAGCCAAGCAAGAGAACCCAAACTGTCACCTTCCTCATGATCTCCCTTTGTAATCTGTACTGAAACACAACTTCTTTATATCCCACCCTCTAAGTCTAATACAGAGTTCATTGTGGCAGAGAACAAATGGCTTTGTTAAATTTTTAAATCCTACACTTTCTTTTGTTGATGTAGAAAACAGTGAAAATCCAACTTTGGTTTGGAGAAAGGATGGGGGAATGTTTGACCGATGATAAATACCATCACGGAATCTGCTGGAGTCTATTACAAAGTGAGAGGCTTTGAAAATCAAAACATTCCTCAACTGTTTCTTAAGGAAACTGGATAATAAACACTGCCTGGCCAGGTGTGGTGCCACAAAACTTTACTTCCTGCTCTGGGGAAGCAGCAGCAGGTGAGTTTGAGGCCAGCCTGGGCCACGTAGTAATTCCAGACCAGCCAGGGCTGGAGAAATCCTACCTCAAAAACAAAAGCAACAACAACAACAACAACAACAACAAAACCAACCTTATCTTGGAAGAGGCTTTAGAGAACAAAGTGGCAATAAAGTCATAAAACAAGGAATAGACAAAGCTTCCAGGGCAAGTTAGATGGACCAGCTGGGAAAGGTGTTTGCCACCAAACCTGACTATCCAAGTTTGATCTTTAGGACTTAAAGGGTGGAAACAGCAAACTAATTACCTAAAATTGTCCTCTGAACTACACACAGGTACCATAGAAACACACACACACACACACACACACACACACACACACACACACACGTACAAAATAAAAAATAAGAAACAGCCTGCCGGGCAGTGGGAAAGCAGCAGCAGGTAAATCTCTTGAGTTCAAGACCAGTCAAGTCTACAGAGTGAGTTCCAGACAGCCAGAGCTACATAGTAGTGAGACCCTGTCTCAAACCAAAAGAACAAAAAAACAAAACACCTACAAGAACAACAAAAACAGCCATAATTACATGTATGTTAAACGGGACTCTGAGGAGTTATTATAAAACTTGAATTTGTTGTTTCCTTGGTGCTAATCTAATGTGGACAGCTTCTGTATAAAGTGTCACATAGTTAAAACCAACACTGTTTTCCTGGAAACAGAACTTTCCTCTGCAGGTCTGGATTTAACATTACATTTGACCTTTACATTTTTTAGTGTATTTTATATATATGGGTATTTTGCTTGTATATATATCTGTGTACCATGTGTATGCCTGGTTCTCATGGAGACCAACTGGAAGAGGGTGTTGGATCCCCTGGAACTAGAATTACAGATGTTTGTGACCCACCAAGTGGGTTCTGGGAATCAAACCTGCAGGTGGAGCTATGAAAGTAGTCAGTCCTCTTAACCACTGAGCCAACTCTCGAGCTTTTAGATCTAAAAATTTTGATACATATCTACATTTGATATGTATCAGAGAAATAATTGATTGAAACCTACTCTCAAATCTAAGTATCATGAATAAATATTAGCTTATAAAGTGGATAGTAGGACTGGCAAATGGCTCAGTGGATAAAGCACTTGTGTCACGAGTGTGGGGACCAAAGTTTGGATCTCCAGAAACCAAATAAATAAGGCGTGGGTATGGCTGCCCACGTGTAATTTCGACATTCAGAAGGTGGGATTTCCAAAGCAGTCTGGCTAGCAAGGCCAGTTGAGGGACCCTGCCTCAGTGACTAGGGTGGAGAGCAAGTGAAAAGGCCTCTTCATGCTGGCCTGGGACCTCCACATGCCCATTCAAACACATACACAACTGCAGAAGGCAATGGTAGGCACTGCCATCACCTGTTTTCATTCAACAAAAGGCCCAGCCTTCTGTGATTCCAAAGAGTAGAAATGCACTGACTTCAGGTAACTTCAAAACAATTTTTAAATTTTCTGAATATGTCAGATAGTTTTGCAATTAAAAAATATAGTCCATTTTGGGACTAAAATTACACATTTTGAAATTTGAAAAAGGAGATATATGAATGAGACTATGTTGAACCTTGTGGGTCAGAGTAGCTTCATTTGGAACTTTTTCTGTTAGGAATATTTTCAGATAAAGCCTAGTGCAGAATCTAAGAAGTGAACTTCATTCTCCAGTAGGGTGGTTTTTTTGTTTTTGTTTGTTTGTTTGTTGTTTTTTTTTTTTTGACAGGGTCTTACTATGTAGCTCTAGATGGAACTCAACAGTGTTGACCCAGCTGTCTTGAACTCAGAGGTCCACCCACCTGTCTTTGCTTTCTGAGGACCAGAATTAGTGTATGTGCCACCACACATGACCACACATGATTGTACTAAATCTTTTTTGTTTGGTTTTATTGGTTTTTGTTTTTTAGAGACAGAATTTCTTTTTCTTTTTTTTTTCTTTTTTTGGTTTTTCGAGACAGGGTTTCTCTGTGTAGCCCTGGCTGTCCTGGAACTCACTCTGTAGACCAGTCTGGCCTCGAACTCAGAAATCCGCCTGCCTCTGCCTCCCAAGTGCTGGGATTAAAGGCATGTGCCACCACTGCCCGGCTAAAGACAGAATTTCTTTGTGTAGCCTTTGCTGTCCTGGAATTCACTCTGTAGACCAGGCTGGTCTCGAGCTC